ACTGCAACTACTCGCAGCATATCGTTTATCAGACTGTCAAGCTGTTTAATGTAGCTATTGATCGAATTTTGGTGGAAATAAGTGATATACAATTATTATGTCTGGCGTGTCTTTGGATCACTCTCAAGCGAGAAGCACCTGAGCAAAAGATACCATCGGTAATAAAACTTTTTGTTCGGAGGAAAGATTGCAGGAAAATGTTATCATAATTAGGTTTAAATAATTATAATTTTAATACAAATTCATTAAATACCTAACGGAATCGAATTTTAGGCAACAAAAGTACTTAAATTCGCAAATAATTGGCACAAGTATGAGGAAAATAATTTGTTAACGTATGAGAGAAAGATTCTTGCCGCTGTTAGGTTTAACACACAATTCGCTGATCCGTACATCTTAGTGTGGTATGACATAAATGTAAATCGAGACATTATTAGACCGGATGATGAGGAGCTAAAGGAGCGCATCTATTGTTGCGGCTCTTACATGGTAATTATAAATATAAATATACAGTGATTCAGCTTTAGTATGTAAACTGTGCACAAAAACAAATAAGCATATTTTTTTTAGATCGATTTATCTATGCTGGATGAAAGCTTATGCGCTATCCCGGCGTATATGATATCAATAGCTGCGGTAGAGTTATCGCTTCAACTTGTATATTCGAGTGATGTTAACGTGGATCGAGCATGGTACCAAGATTGGAGAAGTAAACAGTCGCTGACAGAGTAAGGAAAAGATTAGCAAGTGGGCGCAAAACAAATGTCCCGCTTTCCGTCTTTAAACGAATGTTACATTTTTCTTAACGACGGACATATTATTAGTCTTGCAACGAAGAAAATATAAGAATATATAATTTGTGGAATGTTTTGCAAGAAGAAATTAATTTGATATTTCGCAAGACGTACTAATTCACAGCTTAATTATTTTTAGATGGGATGAACATGTGATGAATTCTACGAAGCACGTAATAATACAGCAGCATACAGCGCTTAAAAACAACGATTATTTTGGAAATTGGGAAAAATATATGCGCGACAAATACGGGATCAGTATAACGGAATTTTTGCCATAAAAATTAAATTTACATCTCTCTAATAATAATCTTTAGATGTACCACTAGCGCTGGTCGTGTTTACGTTTTACAGTTCATGAAAAATTGTTTTTTTTTTTACATAAAAAAGATATTTACTTTTATAAAATTTTATTGAGTTGATATAACGAGAAAAAATATAATAATGTACATGTATCCTCGGAAAAATAAATTTTTTTATTGTTGAAAGTTTAAAGAATAAGCAAGCGTTTGATTCAATTCAATGATTAAAAGAAGATTGGTGGTCGTGACATTGAAATCTCTATCGCGGTAATATGCTATTTGTCAGAATATTCGGGTAATTTAACTTAGCGGCGAGAGAGTTTGGAGACACAAGCGGGAGTTTCGTAGATTTCGTTCGCCCGCCGGCTGGTCCTGATTTAGAGTCCATCAGTTATTTTTATTTCTATTTTATTTGAGACAAGTGCACAGAAACGGGTCTCTCCGCTACGCGTAATAAATAGTCGAGGAGGAGTTCTCTTTCACACAACGAAAACGCTTAGAGGAATCTTTCCTCCGAATGGTCCCGAAATTCGACGACCTGAACTGACCCAGATAACGACGTCGGGTAAACACGTGTATTTACCCATGTAGTATACGTAGTCATGTACGGGATGTTTATAGAGTCCCTATTTATTTCGTTAGAAATCAGGACGTTTCGCTCCCGCAGGCCTGAGAAATCTTCTAAGTGATATTAAACGTTAAATGTGTCACCGCGCGCGCTGTCAGACGCTATTGAGTATCTCGCGGTGGATGGATTTCAAACGCGAATCCTAATACTCTAATAGACGCGGAAGGTAGACGTACCGAAATGCAAATTACTTCGGAAATAGGATCCGCACTATGATACGCACTACGCACACGCGATGACACATGCGAGAGAATCCTACTCGAACTCGCCGATGTTTACATTAGACACGCAGGACACGTACGATGGAATCGTCAAATCGCCTTATATGCGCGCATGCATCTGTCAAGCTTCATTTGCCATCGCGCTATTAGTCATTATTAACTCATGAGGACACTTCGCTCCGGTGCTCCACATAAAGCATAAAGCATAACACCATTGTACCATACTGGGTGACAATCGGGAAGTTGCTGAAACGAAACAGCTGTTATTTTGCAATAATTGGGTAGAACAAAATAAATCACTATATATATAAGAAACCCGTTATTTTTATTGGCAAAAAGAATATACACGTATAAAGGTATACAAGTATACAAAAAAACCAACAATTCGGCTGGCAATAATGATCATTTAAACTTGCGCAATAAGAAACTTTCGAAAACTATTGAATGCACTTTCTAACAGTAATAACTTGCAAGTAAACTTCTTTTATGGAAATGACCGGCTATATCGAGATTTGAACGTACTTTAACCCTTTCGCTACGGCGGCGTCGTTCGCTTTGGAGCAACGAGGTGCTCTGTAGTGTGACTTCATTGTCTAAGATTCGTTATTAAAGATATAATTTTCCAAGCATAAAAATAAAACGGGATTTACATAAGAACAATAATTATTTAAAATTATATTTTATCATTGTTTTAAACTTTGTATTTAATACGCTACAAGCGGAGTTGGTACCAATACGACTATGCCGGCTATAGCCGGCGTTAGAAGCGAAAGGGTTAACCGTGCTACCAGCAACTTTTTTGTTTTTATTTCTAACGTTTATTTTTACAAGTTTATACATGCATGTATATTCTTTTTAGCATTATATGCTAATAAAAACGAATTGTTTTGCAGAGTAGTTATTTAATTCCGTTCATTAATTTACTTAATTCTGTTTATTTTTCATTACAAGATAAACTATTTAGTTTCAGCAACTTCAGCAACGTCACCCTGTATACTTCTAATTTGTGGATCTCTCTCACCGTGATTAAACTCTCTTCCCTGACGTAAGAGTCGTGCTACCTCTGACATTTACAGGTGAATCCTTCGTCCCGGCGACGAGAAGGAATGTTCATGTACACGAGACGTTGAAAATTTCCGATAAAATTTATGAAATTTACATGCGGAATCGTAAAAAATGAACTGTAGACGATAGCATTATTGAGCGCTAATGTGATGTCGATATATGTTTTATAAATTATAGGAGTCAGACTTACCGTGTATCTTCCTTCTGTATATACCTTTCGAATTTATACTTGTTTATAAATAAATGACTTCTCTTTCGTGTCTCCCTTTTTCCGGATGGCTCTCATTCAAAAGACATCACTCATCTTTCATATCGTTGTAGACGTTGCAATCAAATTCTTTGTATTCGTGTAATTATAATTTTGCATATTGGTAAAACCATGATTTATAAAAGAGTAGCGACTGCTATCTGTGTGCTATTCACCATTGATTGTAATTGTAAAAAACATAATTTTCGCAGAAAAACTGATGCATTTTAATTAGATACTTGAATACTGAAAGATAACATGCATACTTTGAAAAAGTATTTCAACGTAAAGAACCAACTTATGTATATAAAATTGCTTTTCTGGTCAAAGTTTTCAGTTTTTTTTAATAAATGTTTACGAATTACTGTTTGGTACTGTTATGGTCTCAACAACAATTGTAAGCTGTCGTGTTTGCTTTAAAGTTTTTATATTCTTTGTGCTTTACAACTCTGATGTTATTTTTCGTATTATTCTGCCGGTCGACCTGTTCTACTATGCTGTTTTACCCTGTTTTATTATAAAAATGGAATATTTCACAAATACTGCGTATCTCTCCAGAAGTTATACATGACGTACCGTAATGCATAGTTTGTGCCATAGCTTTGTAATCCCAAAATAAAAAAGTAAAAATTCACTGCCTGCTTTGATAATTTTCGCATTTGAGAGGAATGGTGGGAAGTCGAGAAAAATCAATAAAATTAAGAATAGTGTTCGTTTTTATTTGTTAGGTCAGGAATGCGCATAAAAGTCGATATAACTAATATATATGAATATGAACACATATATGACATATGAACCATGAAACTTAACGTTGCTACGCTAACAATAAGTAAAACATCGCATGATAGAAAAGATATGAAAACGACGATTCCAGACATATTGAAATATCAATGTCATTAGAAAAAAAAAATGAACCACGAAATTGATTTCGTCGCGAGTCATCGTGTATAAAAATAAGAATTGTACACAAGCCTTTTGTAGAAAACAGCTCAAATTTTCTTTGTCAACAAAATTTTACGAACAATTGCATTTCGACGTATATATGTATAGTTTTCACGTCACAATTAATTTTTCGTATGCGCACATGTATATTCTGAAAAATTATAATGGGATAATGTCTGCGTGGATTTTCCGCCGCGCTTAATTGCGGAAAATTTATGTACGTGGATGTTAACGGTTAAGACAACGACACGATTTTTGATTAATTTTTTCACGACCTTACAACATTATGGCACTAATCGCGGCTCGCCGAGTACAGACGATGTCGGATTAAAAAATAATAATAAAGCGCGTTCGCGCCCAAACGAGCCACGTTACCTGTCACGTTTTTATCTACAAATTTTCAATATTGATTCGAATGCATTATCTACTAGAGCTGTGTGCGAAATAGTACTTGATTCCGAATTCGATACGTGAAGTCGGTCCACAATCGTTACACGTCGAAACAATGGATTTCAAAATTGGCTGTACCGTTGCATCAAGACGACGACGATTTCGAATGTAAAGTCTGAACGAACAATATTGCGCATTGAATACACTCTCCGACTTCGATATTGATTTGCCGACATTACGAAACCGAATAATAACACCTATTTCGGAGCTGCGATTGAACTTGAACCGATTTCACGTTTCGCCAAGGCGAATACTGTCTCGCGTAGCTTTATTATCTACCACGATCGACATATTCAATGTTACATGCGGTGACGTGTTTCTTTCTCTTTACATTACGGGAATATCATGACCTTCGTACATGCTACTATTTACAAATGTGCTATCTAGAGACTGACAACGGGCAATCACCGAGAGAATAAGTAATAATACATCTCGTATATTCATCGTTGAATTTGGGGCGGACAAAAATATTGATCGAGTCGAATCGCTTTAAGAAATGTGTATAGTTTTCGCATTATAATTTTGCATCTGCTAACAAATGATGTATTCTTCCGCATGATAGCATTTAATTAATTTCCTTTCATCCATTCATTACGAATTAGCAGCTATTTAGTTTCAGCAATTTCTCGATTATCATTTTACAATTTACGCACATCGAGGGTATAACATCGACGATATACTCGAGAAACATTTATTTATCACATATTTCGCCACGGATATATCTCGACGTCGAGCGTGCGTTATTCTCTCGCGCCCTTTTTGCTGCTTACATAAATCTAATGTTTGGTACTTATATTCGGGTCTACACTGGCCGCTTCAATCGGGAGTTCGTCGTCGACGTACACACACCTCACATACGTCGTACAGCAGCACCAATCGTTACAGGCAGCACCAATCGTTAACAAACCTAACAATGCAATTAAGAACTTCTTACAGCCCAGACTTCGCTGTTCTGCCCCGTTTTTGATTGATGTCAAAAACGTGTATAAATTAACAGGAATATATCGAGTTGCGTATTTACGAAAAGGAATCTGATTAAGTTCATATAATATAACATAACATAAATAATAAATTTTTAACTTAATACTTATAATGTCAGATTGTACAAATGCCTTTTCGCACGCAACTAATTGAAGTCGCGATTTAATTGATTTAAGTAACTTTCGCTGAAGCACATCAATCGGTATGAAAATTAATAATCGCTAAGATATAATATCTCTGTCTAAAACAGAGTAAACATAACTTGGATACTGTAAAAGAAGAAACGGTTATCCACGATATTCCAGATATGCACATCTTCTCGGTGTCAATTGGTATGGTCGACTTCGACTAATCGTTTAATTAGTTATTTACCTAAATATCTAGTTATACTGCTTGTGCGCACTGTGAATAATTTATAATGTAGGAACCGTTCGAGATCGGTGGTTAAACTCTCCTCGAGGTGACTAAATTGTGATTTTACGTGTTTACATTTCGTGCGTTTCAAATATATATTTTGCGCTCCGCTTTCATGTTTTTTTTTTCGGTGCTTCTGTCTTTTCTCTGGACTAAATTCGTCCAAGCTTGAGCTACGTTTGAGCTAGACTAGTGTTCAAACCGGAAGTCGTTGTTTTCGAATTGACACTAGCCACGGAGTGAACATGATTATACGTCGTGCGACGATACGTGCTGTGTCCCGCACGGGCAATTGATTCAATTCAAAATCAATTCAGTTGAAAAGAAAAACTATAATAGGAATTACTTCAAACAGGTACTTGCTGTATATAATACTATTAGTATAAATTATATTCGAAAATACTTCACTGAGCTTCTTCTTGACTAGATTCTGCGAACTTCGACAAAACGACTTATTGAATAACAAAATTCGTGTGCACTCAAGGATAAGACTTTTAAATATTTTATAAACTCACGCGCGCTTATTACGTGAGCGATATTATTCGTACGCTCAATAAATACTACGTAGCTCAAAAATAAATGCGCTTTGATTCGCAAAATATACAAATACATGCATTCTTTCAATTCAAAAATATAAATGCAAGTTATTAAATATACAAGGATTCACATACTAATTAACATTCTAATTACATTCAAGAACTCTATAAATTCTATTACAAATCCTGCATTCTGTCGATTTCACAAGTGGAAATACACAAATGTATGAGTTATTTACAGGAAATTATTATTGTATATAATTATTGTCGGAAAAGTAAAGTTTACTACAATTTTTACACGTGACCTAATCTGAATGCACATGAATTTTTTTCACTTACAACGTACAACGATAAGAGATCCCCTCGCAGAATTCGCAAGAAGGAACAATAATATTAAATACTGAACAGTAATCCTCACTCTACAAAAGGTAGCGGGCTTTCTCTTCCTCCTCGATGAAAGCTCGCAAATTGCTTTACAAAACAATACGCGGTTTACACTCGATTTTAGACGCCACTATTCTTTTAAGTTACACGCAAATCTCGCAATTGCTAATTTTCTCTCTTTTATTAGATTTTAGTTATTTATCTAGCGGTTTAGATCTTTCTCCACCGAGTGTCCTTCCAGCTACAGCTCTTGTGATAAATTTGCAAAACTTTGACTCGCGTTTTAGCAATGTTTATCGCATTTTTATTTATCATTGTAATTAGTTATCAACTTAATTACTGACATAGATAAGCTTAATTTAAAATTTTTGTCAAGATAAAATCGATTGAGAAATGAGATTTTATTGGGTTGATTCATAAATGTGCTTTTTGTTTTATTCAACAAACTGAATGCTTATATTTAAAAACCGTTATAACAGTATAAATACTGATTTGTAAATGATACAAATTATTCGCAGCAGATAAAATAATTAAATACCGTAAATAATACTGGTTTCTCGGAAGAAATAATTCAGTAATTATGTGTAGCGGATCTCATTTTTTTTTATGAATCAACTCAATACTATTTACATAATCAAAGTCTAAATTGTTAGAAATGCTCAATTTTCAATGCTAATTAACATCGTAATTTTCGATGTTAACGTTTTCTTTTCTTAAAACCACTATCTTTCGTAATTGGTCCTCTAGTACATGTAGTTGGAAGATTATCCGGTGATTCGGGGTCATCCCATATACCAACACATATACCAACCCATATATTCTCATCGCACATTTAATAGCAAACGTAATCCTAATTCTCCATCTAAAGTGTCTGCGATCGTGCGTATCTTTCTAAATTGCACAGATAAAGCTTAGGATCATAAGCAATACAATTCAGTACTAAATGCACAGCGAGAATCGAGTCTTCTGGACTAACGCATATCACACTTTGTCTTCGTGATACGTATTGTATTATTTTACGGCGCCCTCCATACGTCTACTCAAATTTTTGTGAACATCGCAAAATTTTGTCCCCAAACGAATTCCGTCGTAGATAAGTAAAATGACCTCTCAGGGGTCCGTCGTGGCTATTCTCATAAAATCACCTCTCGCCTGCCTCAATTCTTTGTTTATCATCCGAAAAAGGTGTATAGAAATGTTATTTTGGAAGATTTGACAATTAGGCACACAGATTGCCCTCCTTGAAAAAAATTCGCGCGCAATCCTTCTCGCAAACGAGCATTCTCATTTAGACCTTGAGACATTTCTTTGCCTTGCCGTTTATCCGCGTCCGCATCTCGATCGCCGAGTAAAAGCCACTTCGCTTGCGCAACACCGCGAAGCTTCGTATCGTCAAGTCGTTGCTTTTCGATTACCCCTAAAAGCAGCCGAATGATGAAAAGTCGCGTGACACTTTCGACGAGGGTCTTATTGATACCTTCTTCAGAGTGGCTCGAGTGCCCGCGAAACGAGGTCGTGCGAGGTCACGCGTCTTTTCGCGCCTCGTCAGGACCTCGTTTCGAAACTTTGCGATCGATCCAACGTCTTCGGGCGATCGTGATCCGCCTCGAGCAACCCGCTTATTGTTAGATGCGAAAGCACAATAAACGTTCTCTGAACCTTCCGGCCGCCTCTTAGACTCAGGCAATGTTCTGTTTTGGAAGAATCGGAATCGTTTGTAGAAATTGAGCAACGTGTCGTGGGCGGACGCACGCACGTACGCACGGAACTCCCCGTGGCCGCCGGAAGAGCCCTCTAAACGTATTCCCGGGGCGATTTCGTCTCCTCAGGTGTTCGGTGAACGCACGACGTCGTTTTCCCGCCACGAGCTGGTCGTGCACACGCCGTCCCCTCGCCACCACTCGTTCACGTCCTTGTAATATTTCGGCGGACGGTCGTCGTGCAGCATAGCGCATACTCGACACCAAAAATACGTATTGATGAACTCGCCGGTGCCCTTCCAACGAAAGTATGAGTTGTACAGGTCGTCGTCGCGATCCAGCCGATGCAGATATTCGGCGAGCTCCTTCGGCGACTCGAACTCGTCCACGTGGATGTAGGAACGGTATGGCGCGCTACGCGCGTAATCCGTCGGATGGGCGCCCATCACGATGGGCAGAACATTGTGCCTGCACGCCCGGAAGGAAAACAGGTTCGTGATGATGATAATAATAAGAAGTGGTAATTATAGTCGCGAGAGGAGGAAAGCGATTGTGTCACGAAAGGGTCCATATCATGTCGCATGTTTCACGCTTGGGAGTTAACGCGGGCGCATCCAGTTCGGGAGCTTAATTAATAGCCGCGCGAGCAGCACGCGTTTCTGTCCATTACGCGAGTGGAGAAGATTAGGTAACGCGAGTTGGCACGCGACCGCCTTATTCGAGATACCGCACAAGTTGGCAAAGGTTGCCGACCTCTGGGTAAAATGATCGAGCGTATTAAGTCGGTCGACTTACATTCGCTGCTCGTATCTGAAATACCGCGACTCTCTGTATGGATTGTGTGCACCAACGTGAGAGCGAGAGTGAGAGGAAGACGGGGAGAGAAAGAGAGGGAAAGAGAGAGAGAGAGAGAGAGAGCAATGAATAGTATAAATACCATCACAGTATCACACATACCCAAGTCCGTTAACGAAGAACTTCTCCGTGATATAGTCTTTGCAGTTGGAGTTCTCGAACGCGAGATAGAACTTGTAGTCCTCGTCGAGCATGTCAAAGCACGTTTGCGACTGCGACCGCGGGCAGCGTAGGCTGCCGCACGCACCGTAAATGTCCACTTGGATGTATTTCGAGAGTTCCCTGGCATAATGCATGCGCTGATTTCGGGGATGGCAGTTGGAAACGAACCAGGCGACCTGATTAAACAGCGATGCAGAAGAAGGCGAATGTCATATGTGATAGTTTACTCTATGCTCAACAACAGCGAAAATAACGTACTTGAGAACAACGCTCTCGAAAAGTATAAGTATTTATAAAACTGTAACATATACATGGCAGAAAAAACTTTTGATAAGAAATTTTATTCTTATACTTTCCATTTTTATGTACTTCATTTTATTTTGATTTAATTTCGACTTGAGAATAATGTTTCTATTTCTTGCGGAAAATTAATTACAATAATAAATCATGATTAAAGAATAGATAAGTTTATTTTATTATCCAGTAAATATTATTTTTGTATATGTTTTTTAGATATTAATTAAAATTTAAAGTTGTATTTAACTTTATATAAAATTTATACTATTTAAAGTTAAAAAAATTTAATGTGGTATTGGTATAATGAATTAAAGCCATTACTGGTAAATAACTTCGTTTAAGCTTACAACTAAATAATAAACCATATTAAGTAAGTCATTAGCATTATGATAACAATAAAAAAAATGTGCCAATATACGGTGTAGTTGGATTTTTTGTGTCTTATAATATTTTTCGCATGAATTTAATAAGTAAAAACCGTATTTTATTAAAAAGTACTAAATAAATAAAAGCTATTTCTATATTTCAAAAATATAATTATCTATTATTTTATTATTTTGACCACAGAAATAAATATAGTAAAGATTTGTTATTTACTAGTACACTTATTTTATAAAGAATACAAATATATATCAGAAATTATTTTGATTTGCAGACAATTAAAATATTTACTAAAGCCTTAAGATCAATTTAATCGTCTTACCTTTTTCGTTTTGTTTGCCGCATAATTAAACGTTTGTGAGATCTGTGTGACACTGGAATCATAATATTGCCACCTCTCGTAAGGTGCCACTATATCACTGTCACGCCGATACGTGGCGGTCCAATTGATAAGGGCGTTCTTTACACTCTGCGTGTGATAAGGACATTCTAAAAAATACAGCATCCACACCTGCCGAAAATTGTAATATAATTCTTATCAGGAAAGCAATAAATCCTCTCTTATGTATGCGTAATATGAGCGAAGTTACGATGGGTCAGTCGCAGAAATTAACGTTACTTATCGTTGCATTTGATTTACCTGATTGTAAGATCTTCGTCCCACGTGCGTGATGTAATCCTTAAATAGAATGAGATCGGCGTTGTCCGGATTGTCGCGGACAATCGTGCAAGTGTTCACCGGGCAGCGTTGTTGGAAGAAAATGTCAGGACCGACTTTGGCCTCGGCCATCCCGTGAGGAATCATTATCTTCTTTAATGGATGCTCACCACCTGTTCTGTTGTAATCGGGTGGCACGAACATTAGCTGCAAAATTAGTCACAATATTAGTATATGTCTACGCACTATTGGTTAAGCGAATGCTATCGATTAAATTACAAAACGATCTAGCTTTTGCTAATAAAATGTATTTTGTTATCTACATATAACGTTAAATAGTCAACGAGTATTGAAATCAATCTTGTAATTATATTTTTAATTCTTAAAATTCCAGTATAAATTTTGTAATAAATTTTATTCGACATCACTACAAAAACTAAAATCTACGAAATTCCTATATTCGTTTGTAAATGTATGATGTAAATGCTTTGAGTTTATTTTTTATAAAGAGTTAAAGTTCTTTTTTTTACATTGTTGTGTCCATTATAAGAGTGGTGAAAACGTGAAAATTCGAGTTTTCCCAATATTTTGCTGAGAAATAAAGAATTTAACAATGTAATTCAATAATATAATAACAAATCGTGATTCAATAAAATAAAATAAAATAAAAAAATAATTTAACACAATAACATTTTCCCTGGCGTTTTTAATTCTCTTCGATATTTTTGTTAAGGAAAATTAAGTTTAAATCGATCAATCTATTAAATCTTTAAGTATGTAATTCCGCACACACAAATTCTTGTGCAATTGAATTACCTGATTGGTCACTCGATCATCGTAAGCATCTTCCTCCGGCCACAATTGAGCCAATCTTCTGCCAGTATTGCGAGTTCTTATCGCTGGATAAGGTCTTCTGGTTCCTCCTTTCATGTACCAAGGTCTTCGCGTTGCATCCAAGTCTATCGAGTTTTCGCTCAAGCTCGCGGTTCCATTTATATTCAATCCCTTCAAATGAAAAAGACTTACATAAATAAACAAAAAAATAATCTTTATATAATATTGTCATTCTCTGCTGCAACTAAAAAGACAATACTGCGATCTATTGTTCTTAAACTAGAAATTTATTAATAATGTCGCATTCAACAAATTTTATAATAGATGTATTGATAGTATTGATGACATTTGCGATAATAAATCGATCTACATACATTATTTTTCTGCTATTTATAATACTTAAATAATCATAATAATTCATTAATTTAAGTTTTCCTTAATACATGTCACTTTTTAAATTAGTTCTATCAGCAAATATAAAAATTCATGCAATTAATTAAGTAACAACTTTTAAAATTTCTAAGCATAATATTATGCATGGACGAACACAAAAGCTTTTTTCTCTAACATTTTTACTTATAGATAATATATGATACAAAGAATGACAAGAAAATGTTGAAACAAAACTTTCTCGTCTCACATATGGATAATTAGAAAAAAATAAGTCAATATATATACTGCTACAGGCAATGACTATCAAGGCTGAACTATTAAGCCAATCTAACGCATACCACGATATAAGAATTTCCATTTCATGATCTGAAGCATTAATTATCTGTACAGTTTTCCTATCAAGTATTTAACAAAATAAACATTAAACAAGCTACGATGATATTTTTAATAATCTTCGAATCAAATTTTACCATATTTATATCTAATAATTACGTCTGAAGTATAAATAGACATTTAAAACGATGTTTCTTTCACTTACAATTTATTTGCAATCGCTGAATCTCATAAAAATTATTATTCACATTTTGTGTTCGAAACATTATAATCTTCTTCATTGTACATTTGGCCATAAATTACACGATGTATTCGCACTATGCTAAGCTCAGTCGAAAAAGAGGAAGCCACTAAGTTCGAAAAGCAATCATACGCACCGTACTCTTTTAAAGCGCAGGAACAAGCAAGACGACACACGGAAAAAGTAACGATATCAAACAGGATTTCGTGGGAATAATCGCGATAATAATATGTTTATTATATGTACATCTATGTATTATAATATGTACATCTAATGTATTATACATATACTTTCATCATTGGAATTTCTGGAATTAACACGTATCTAAGAATGCGAAAGACTTGCAAGGTTTCGTTGTATTTTTGGAATGTTTTTCCGTGTACATGTCGTTTTGGGATTAATCGACGCTACAATTGACCGTACCTCGGACGAGAGTCTTTTCCTCACTCGCTCCCGAGTGCGTAATACTCGCATCGTCGGCTTCTTCGATTTCAAAGGCCAATCGGGTTTCATCTGCGAGTGAAATTCGTTTTTATTCCTTTAGCCGTGATTCATTTTCCTGCCATTATCGCTTACATTTCGCACACTTCCTTCTCTCTCTCTCTCTCTCTTCCTCTCCCTTTCTTCCATTTTATCAAAAAATGCGGTAGCAATATATTTAGCATAGCAACAACCGCAGTAGATTATAATAATCTTAAAAAAAACTCTATTAGCGCTTATATGATTACAAATATTACATATATTATAAGCGAGAAATATACACTGAGCTAGTGCATCTTTATCAAGTTTTCCGATATGTCAAACGCGATTAGATAGATAAGACCACGATCAATAAAACTATTGCATCCGTACATATCAAGGTGACTCACTCTTGTGCCGTTTTCTTCCAAAACAATATCGATTTGCAATTACAATCGGTACTGCAGAAATAACTATAACTATGAATAAATGAACTATGAACTATACAGCGGGGTATTTCATATCCCTCGCAGGAAAAAAACTGTAGCAAAAATTGTAATAAAAACTTTTATGAAATACATCGACGTAATGAGAACAAATTATTATCTATATTATATTTTTATAAAGTCAAAATATTTTTGTTTTAAAATGTTATGTACGTTTCATATTTTTCGAAAAGGACTATTACTGTAATTATAATTCGAAAATTCTCAAGTACGATTTAAGACAGAGATTAAATTCCATTAAAATGAGAAAGCGATCAGTAAAATCTGAACACAGTTGCCTTTAGCATACTGTATATTTTACTATAATGAAACACTTCCTTCTCTTTTTCTTTCTCTTTCTCTCTCTTTCTCCCATTTTATCAAAAGATGCGGTAGCAATATATTTAGCGTAGCAACCGCAGTAGATTACAATAAGCTTAAAAAAACTCTATGCTTATATAATTTTATTATAATAAAAATTACAATATCAGCATAGTAATTTTTAGGCAAATTTAACTGACTATATAAATGTTGTAATATATTTCAAATTCTTACATACGTCCATAACAGTTTAAAACATTTACAAATTAAAATTACAATTAGTAATGCACAAGAGTTTTGTTTTAAAAAAGTATCATTCAATTGTCTTTGAAATAAACAAAAACTGGTAATAAATGTTCATTATTACAATTTTTATTAATGTGATTAATAAAAATGTAATTAATATTGCAATATCGTTATTTTGTATTCTAGATTTATAAAGTAGATTGTTGTAAACAGAAATACTTTGTACATAATTTACTACAGTATTTTCCCCATGTATGATCAGATGACTTTCCTGTCGACTAATCTAATTGTAAGACAATTAATAATTTTGCATGTACCTTTGGCCCGTCGCCGGTAACTCGAACGGACTGCGGCTGGCCAGGATGTGGCCGCATACTGTGCCATTTCTCGTCCTGCAGAAGATTCAGCACGATGAGCAACGTGCCCGTCAGACATAGCACGTAGAAAAAGTATCTCTTCAGGGAGAAACGCGGCAAACCCATACCGCCCGGTTCCCTAAGTCGGGCGAGACCCTTATCTAGCCTGCATACGCCACTTCGCTCCACGGCACATTCGGCTACGCTGCAATAACGAAAGTCAATAAAAAATGAATGGGATATCGATCAATCCTTGCAAACAATCTAAAAAAAATGCACGAGATAATACAAACTGAATAATGCAAATGATAATATATGTTGACAGTGACATTAATCCATTATAAGTCCAGAAGGTCCCTACACGCTTTTCTGTTTTAAATCCTTTTAACTCGGCTTTTAATCGAAATATTTAGACCGCAATTAGTATTTAGCGGTAAAAAGAGTTGCTCTTTCCAAAAATTTAATCGGCGATGAAATGGAATATCTGAAAGAAGAAATATAAAACGGTTGAAAGCATGGAGGTAAAGAAGTAAGTGACTTTTTTACTGACAAATATACATATAAAATTCACATATAACTAATAAATAATTTCGTCTACCTTCTTGAGTAGAATAAATTGATATTAGTAGTTATCGATGTAATTGTATATCGATATAATATCTTTTATAAATAATTTTATCCTCTCTTTGAGAATTTTTGTAGATTTTATATATCACACAAATATATTAATTATATCAATTTATTCTACTAAAAAGATAGACAAAATCATTTATTATAGTTAAATATTTGTGAATAAAAAGGTCACTTACTTTTATCTCTTGCACTTTTAACTTTTATATCGTTTTTTTTTTCAGATATCTTACTTCATCGTCGATTAAATTAGAAAGAGCAATTCTTTTGATCCCTAAATATCATTTGCAGTTAAAAAATGTTGATTAGAACTCGAGTTATACAAAGATTTAAAACAAAAAAGCAATAGAGACCTTAATAGAACTCAATGAATTAAGAAATCTCTCAAGTTAATAATTGAGAGATTTCTTAATGTCCTCTTAATTGTCCCTCGTGTTCGAGCTCGTGTTAATATCCTTTTCTTTTTTCAAAAATACTCGAAAGCTCTCTTGTACGTAATAAAGAACAACATCGATTAAACGTGATAAAAAATATAGGTCATTTAAAGATGTAATTGCATTTTGCATGCGAGCATATAAATCTACAATAAAATATACATATGTAATAAAATGTAGAATAATAGTACAGGAAAATTCAGCATTTTATTTTATAATTTGTTGTACGTATACTCGTTTTCCGGAATATGATACGTTCCATTTCCGTGTACGAACCGCATATATAAAAGATAAATAGTACAGATTCTAAATTACTTCCTTATCTTATGTGATAATTTTGTTTATACATGGCACACGATTTAACTTAAAAAATAATTAATTTAAGCAGAGCACCCCAAAAAATGTAATGCAATTCTTTTTACAGATATTATAATAAGGTGAAAATTTCACCCAAAAAATTTATTGTGATATGTGGTGTGAGAGTGATTATGTAAGAAAAGTTTATTATAATTCAAAAAATTACGATTAACAATTATGATCATAGATATTGCCTGATGATAATTATTATCGAACAAATCAGAGTAAAAAAAGATAAATTTTGAATTGATATAATTGAATCAATAATTCTGTATAATAACAATATAAATTGTTCTTATATATGGTTCACAAGTCTATATAATTTTTGTAGTTAAACTAGTGATGTATACTATCCGTATTTAAAACGAAATAGGTATATGTTTGTAACAAAAGCTAGAAGAGAAGTTCTACCGCAATCCAGAGTGGAGTAATAAAAAATAAATAAACCTCATACATATATACAACACGCGCACAGATACGTTTGCACGCACGATATGTTATCCAAGAACACTGGCAAAATTCGATAAGATTGTCTAACCTTGTTAATTTCCGCAACACTAATACTGTTTTGCAATTACGTAATGTAATCGTCGCTTTCAAGGGCCTTTATCACTGCACGGGATGATTCATTACTGTTGCCATTCTCGCGTAAGCTTTCTAAGCACTTGGCGCTGATCCTCGTTAAAATTAAGGGATGAAACATTACAACTTCCTGAAGATCAAACGCCTCGAATGTCGAAATACGATCGTCGGCTATTCGCGATGTTACGCGAAAAAGAGATTTCCCGTCCTAAATTAACGTAAATTGATGTTTTTCGCCGTAGAAGATATACCGATTTGATAAATTTAATTGGACGCTTCCGAAGGACGGAAAAGCACGTAGCCGTGAATTTCACACGAGGCGTTGTTGCGATAACTCACTCATCTCTTCATTCGTTAATTCCGAAGAGCATCGCGGCCGGCTTGAAACTCGATGTCTGTGAATTTCACACGACGTACAACGTGTTCTCGCGATTTATCGATAACTCGCTCACCCCTTCATTCGTTAGTTTCCGAAGAGCTCCGGCTTGAAACGCGATGTCATTAAATTAATTTCATCGCGAGATAGCGTCCGCTATCTCGCTACATCGTCGCACGCCCCCGTACTAATCGATACGACAAGGAAGCATTGATTCGTGTATATACGAATAAACACGATACCAGCATACATTCGTCCAATATTTATGCGCTGGTAATCTGCTATTATAATTTCCCGTCATCAGCATACGCCGTCGTACAAGGCACGGCATATCCGTGTCGTTAAATTATATCAGATACTTATACGACCCAGTTGGTTCAGTTAACTATTCTCCCAAATATCATCTTCACCTTATAAGAAAAAGTAACGTGTACATTTCTTGTACTATGACATAATTACGGCGTATTACATTTGACATTTGACCCAGATAGAAATGCATGCATCTCATTTTACATTATAATATATAATCAAAAAGTATTCTCCTAAATATTCCTATTGGAAATAAAACAGTTGTTTCATTTTGTCACCTTTTTTTATATCTTTAGGCCGGAAACTTTTGAATTTTGATATGTATATGTAAACATGTTGAAAAAATATATCGAAGAGAAAATTAAGCACTCGCTATTATATTCAGGGCTTACAATTAGCCCATTCAAGATGATACTATCAAATCTAAAGTTTATCATGTATTATTATTAATCATTGCAAAACCACAACATATTTGTTTATTTCAAAATGACAATGCAAACGGCGAGAAAATAAAAAATGCTGATGTCAATATACACAATTTGAAACTCGTCCTTCTCGTCTGTGGTGCACATGTTGTGTGGAAGTATTTCCATTACATGCGATAACTTCAAAAAACATAGAACGCACACAACTAAATACACACTTATTGACTCACGTCTATAATCGTCGATTTGAAAAATTTTACAAAACGCTGACGCCATCTTACATCGCAAGTTGAAAGAGGATTTTTTCCCGACGATGACGAGACGTTTCTTAAATCTAAATCTGTCAAATCATATAGCAATATCTCCACATGTAGAACACATAGACGAAGACTACAAACACTTTTATCGTATAAATCGAATCCAAGCTATATCGATTGAGCCTATTCAGAACTTGATCGGTTCAGCCTTTATTGAGATTCGATAATCTAAAGGTCTCTATACTCGACGATTCGCGTACAGAGATACACGGTCTGTGTCTCACTGCGCATACACTAGGCACGAGGCACACTATCGTGATATAATATATGTACATCGTCAAATGGTAGTCATTAGAAGGAATAAATACAAGCAAATATTGTTGTGAACTTATCTGAATCTCATTACATGTCTGTATTCTGAGTAGGATACGAACCCGCACCTATGTCTATTCTTGTCCTCACGTTTTGAACAAATGACTACAAAATGAGGTCAGACTGAACATATTTTGCTACCCGGGTGAGTTACGACGTGACACGGTTGACCTCATGACCTTATTACGAGTACCTCTTATTTTGATTTACGAATAACTTCTCCCTTCTTTTTGTTAATTTCACGCTGGTCTCCCAGATCCCATGATACGGAAGACATGTGCGCTACTCTAATGAGCCAAAAACCCGAGTTTAAACCCGATCAAAAAATCGATTGCCACCTCTCGGAAAAAATAATGTCAACCCGAGAGTATCTTGTCACGAGCATCCCCTCTATATTTGAAATCGGTGAGATCATCAGATCATCTCAGTGGATTCTTATCATTATCCCACGATATTGGATAACTTCGATGTAAATTCGATGTAAAAAAAAAATACATACGCTTATGTGATTATAAGGACTGCCTAATACTGAAACAATTGTCGATTTTAACTTAACACAAAATTTAGCTAACAATAAGCTAGAAATGACAATTTTTCGACTATGCAGTTTTTACAATTACAAAAGTTGTTTTTTTCCAAATTAACATCTATAATACTCACTCTTTCGAGCGATAATTCTGCATGTGAATCCTTATTATTATGTATTTTATTTGCGTGTGTACATACGTGTGCATGTGTTCGTCTGTGATGCGTGCATTTATTATGCACGTTTCCATTTTCTTTCACATCATATATGCTCTTTATTCTGATGGACTTTATGACAACAGCCTTGTTGGTCACTGCAGTCTCCGCATTTTCGTGTATTCTATACTTTGTCCCTTCTGTCTATGTTTAATCTCTTGTTTTCTTTGTTGTGCATTGCAATAAATTTTTTATTTATTATTATTATTATTATTATAAACAATGTCCGTCGGTCTTTCCCTTTCCTGCGATCGGAAGAACTTTCTTCTATATGCGTCCGAATTCACGGAGGACAACGTCCGTTCGTGCTTCGCGAATGTTAAATGCCGCGGCAATTGTATATCGCGAGTAACCTGGAGTCCTGTTATCCACTCGCAAACACACACGATACGTGTCGAATACAAAGTGACACATCTAATTCGCACGCTCGTGCGAAAGAGACACGAAATGTTTTGGAATAACGAATAAAAAACGAAAAGCATTCCAATTCCCAGAACGACACTCTTTGAGGATTCACGACCGAGGCGCTTACAATCGCTCGACTGTTAAACGAATCATCCTGCCGGTTCGTGAAAAGGTGAACGACGGATTCACCGCGTTGCAACACGCTCTCGTGGTTCTACCTTTGAACCATAATAAAGTTCACGTTCACCAGACCAGCGAGCGTCTAAACCCGAAGTGAGATGAGCGAAGTTTTAGTTTACCGCTCTGCGGATGCAGCATATATATTGACGTTCACGTATCCAACGCATCTCTTCACAAATAAGGATCTGATAAAGAGCTTATCGCAGAGTGACTCAAACAAAAAAAAGCAATTTTTGTGCTCATAAACAATATCGAAAAATTTTATTTAAAAAGTTTTAAAATTTATTAGATATATAGAATTATTAGATATAATATTATTTATTAGATATAATAAAAGAAAAGATTTTTGATAATATCCGTATTACTATATTTTTCAGGGATTGAAAATAATATTTAAAAAAATAACGATTAAGCATTCTTCAAACAAATTGGTATAAATAGCGTATACCGACACTATAAGTAGTGTGTCGGTATACAAATAACTTTTCAATAATTATGTATTGATATTGCTACTGTTACACTAATATTATCAAATCAATCAAATTCGTATTATATTCTCGATATATATTTTATGAAAATTATATCTATAAACATGGTAAACTGAACTCACTGAAATTGTAGAAAAATATGAATTGTAGAAGAATATAAAATGATATGAACAACATGTAAAACAATGTACAATATATGTAATTTATAAGAGAAATATATAAATATAATATATCTAATTTTACGTGATTTTAAATTAAAATTCCGAATTTATATACGTTAATTCATTATTTTTTTTCCTTGCAATTTCTTTTGAAAAATATAAAGAATAAAAAATACAATAAAAATTCAATTGATTTTATAATATTGGCATTTTATGACGGTACAAATAACAGTAATACTGGTATTTGTTCAATGTGCGATATAATTAAAGATCTTTCATTTTACGATTACATGAAAATAAAGATATACATGCTATTGGTATGCAACTTCGAAATTATTCCCTACTATTCTCTAATAAATCTACAATAAACATTGTCTACTTTTTATTATTTTATATAAGACGCACATATCACATATCAACGAAGGAATCGTTGGATGTTCTCCGATTCTTGAGAGGATCTCAAATGCACGGGTGAATTGAAAGCGTAAATAATACAGACTTTTACACTCTTCTTCTTCGCCGTATTTTACTGCTTAAGGCTACGTTTCCATCGACGTAATATACTCACGTAGCTTTTAAATATTAAAATCGCGCTCTAGTCCGTCAGAGTCGATTGATATACGTAATCGACAAACACACATTTTGACGATTCTCACGTACAGTTCACACATTACAGAAGTAATAGAGTTCACGCACCGAATTCTTCCTTTTTCTCTCTTTTGGGATTCACCTATAAATCACTTGTTCATGTGGCAATTTTCCACGAACAGTAAAAATTCTATTAAGTAATCAAACGTTGACCCTTCTTCGCGAAGATAAGATCTTTCCCCAATTGGTGTGAACCTTCAACTTCGAGTTAACAAAGAACGGCACATGGATTACTCAATGAAGTGGAATGCCATTTTTTACATAAACATGAAACATCCCGCATCCGGGTTCTTCCGGTTTCGCGTTCACTTATGCGCGCGCGCGCGCGCCGACGGTTGTCGCAAACCTGTTCACAGGCGGACCGTTCGAGTATCACTGTCCATTAGCGAGCTGCCGAGCGTGTTGCAACGCTATCTTATCGCTCGCCTTTGTAAGTAATAGATTCACCCACATATCGAAAATATGGACTACTTCTAATACATTACTGTGCGCTCACATTTCCAGAATAGAGAACCGCACCTTTCACTCGCGACCACAAAACTGAAAACTGACGAACTTAGGTATACCATCCAATATTACTGATGCTACTTTGACTATCTTATCGTCGCCTGCTAAATAGTAACATTTTGCGTGTCCCTGTTTCTTTTATGGTCTCCTCAAGGTTGACACAGCCAATATCGCAACTTTGCGCAATGTACGTAAGCATAAATCTTCAGACGTTGCGCATTTGTCAATAAAATTAACGTTTTACTAATTTTCACATTTGACATGATATTTTTCAGATTCTTTACCGTTGCAATGTCTCTATCTTGGACATTGTATTAATATCGCATTGCATAATAATGATAATAATTCTAATAATAACTTTATTCCAAACGTAAAATTGCCAACGTTTGACATTTTAAAAGATTAAACAAGAGTAAAAAAATACGTGCAAAAAAGAAGAAGCAATACTGTTGCTATATCTGACCACGTAATAAAGCAATATACAAGAAATTTAAAGAAAATAACAAAATATAAAAATAATAGAAGCATATTTAATATAATTTATAAAGGAAACAGGCTAAATTATTAACAATAAGAATAAGTATTAACAATAAGATATAATGAATCGAACGGCAGCTGATCAAAATAAAAAAAGTAGAGGAAGATCTAACATTTGGAGGCAATAAATTAGAATTTTTGACTGCAGTATAGAAAAAAGAAAAATTTTATGGAATGATAGATGGCGCAGTAGATCTTAATAACACATGTCTGGAATAAAATTCAGAAATTAGGTGAAGAAGATAACAGATAAAATGAAGATAGAAAGGAGCATGAAGAACGCAAAATTTTATGTACAAAACGACAGAAATGTAGCATGGAACAAAGTGAAAAATTCAAGGGACAATAAACGAGAAAACTAAAATATCAATAACATAAAATAAAATATGATTTATTATCAATTAAACAAAATTGGTAGAACGTTTCAAACTTCACTGAGATCTTCTTCAGCCGATACAAAAGTAAATATGAAAGGGATTATGTCATAATTAATACGAGTAAAGATTACTAAATATACAAATTTAAAAAAATGCCGTATGAAAAACTAAAACTAAAACCGAGCTACAAATAGTCTATATACCAAGAGGTCATGTCTAACAATAAGTTGAAAGCATAAGTAAATAAATAAGAATATAAAATAAAAATAAAAGAATTGGTAAATTTTTAACTAACTGGAACGTTGGTAAAGAGAACGTGATCGCACTTGCAAATGCCATAGGAAAAACGGAGGCAAAAATTTTGAATGCGTTGGATTATAGTAATCATTGACTCAATACCGAAACATACACAACGTTTATAAATAAAGGAAAAATGAGAAGTTGAAAAGAGTTTTTATGGAAAAGAAGTATACATAATAAATGCATTGATGAGATAAAATGATCAGATAAACCGAGTATCGTTCCATGCACAATATGGAACACTATGTAATTGCCCATTCAAAATGTATGTACGTTATACCTAACATATCATATGTTTCAGTAAATAGATGGATGACAATCTTTGCAAATTTAATCGCGGTAATTGCATCAAACTCAAAATCTTAACGTGACTACAATAACAATAGCCCGTTAATCGAATCATGTGACAATTTGTTAATTCTCTATCTCGTATAATGTGGGTAAGTAGCCGTGCGATAAACTTGTAACCACACACACGACTTGAAAAAGTCGTCAAGATATTTTACTTAACAATTTTTCGAAATTTCTCGTCTCACTCGAGTCGATATGATCGAGATTAAACGACCGTTTTTTTGCTCTTCGTTTGCATTTAGCCCTCAATTTGCCCGAGTTATTTCCGTCAACGCAAAACTCGACGAAAGAATTTAATCGGCGCATGCAATATGAAATGCAATCAATCGAATCTATAGCGGATAGCGGATAGATGTACCTTACAATTTGGTTTTATAGGATTTACTGACTTACTACTTAAACAACGTCCATTCGATTGACTGCATATATTGTTGGCAAAGCGACAATAATGGCGTTAACCAAATTTACATCGATAACCATAATCATGTCTATGAATTTAATCGCCAGCTTAATCTCATGACAGAATATTGCATACAAATTTTTCCGTACTTATTCGCAGTGCAGTGACAAGCTAGAGCTCTGATAAGAGAAATTCATGAAATAAAATTTTTTTTCTTTCTCGACATCGCTGTACAGCTCAATATCGAACTTCGGCATATTCTCGATGGCAATAAGAATTTTTTCGACTTTAACATCTAATGAAACGTGAGCGCTTCAGCGCTCTCATTAATTCAGCTTGAAATAATATTGATTCGATATAATAAGAAATGAGCGTTATCAAGCGTTATTTCATGGATTTTCTGCGTCCAGTGTCACGATTACTTCTGCAAGGAAAACTCTGCAAAGGAATTGTATCAACAAATAGTGCGATTGATCGATACTTCACGTGTATTTAGTTCTTTAATTCTGTTACATAAACGACGTCGATTCCAGAATTCAATTTATTCGAATTGTGCCGAGATAAACGAATAAAGTTTCGGTAAATTCAATAAATAAATATTATGTATTTTTTTTTCTTTCCGTATGTCATTTAAAAATGTTCACTATATATAAAATTAAATTTACCGTAACCATTGCTGTGTAACTTTTATTAAACGAGCACCTTGTATTATAGAGTATACCTTTATATTATAGAATAATTTATGTGTTTATTGGAAACATATATTGTACCATTATAGAATGATATTTATAGATAATGATATCGTCATTTTACATTGTCATCCTTATATGTTTACATCCCGCTATATTTACATCAATTATTCGCATCATTGATTCTTCCTCTTCTAACAACATATACAATTTTCTATTGTCTCATGTAATATGACTGTCACGTTCCTGACTGACATCAATGAATAAGAGATAACGGTTCACGTATATGCATGTAGATATTAAGTGGTAAATATAACATCATGTTCGTAGAAGCATATCGTTCTCGTTTTGCGATGTAACACTCCTCTTTTGCAAATCTGCCCAGTCGCTATCTTCCACGGAACATTCTCGATCGCTTGTGAGCATATCTCACTGAACTCACAACATCGTTCCGAGACACGTCACTGTTTTTTTATCTCATTTGCGCCTTTCGCGATATCGGCATAACAGAAATAACTCACTTATATATATATTATATATATGTACTAACCCATCAACACGGTCTTCGTTACGCTTGTGCACGCACGCATACACGTGCGCGTAGGTCGAGGACATATCTAGCATCAGCGATGGGCGATTTATCTAAAAGTATCGTCGAAAGTGCCTTAAAATGCGAACGTGTCGCCGGTGCGGGTCGATAACGTTAACGGCCGTGAAATCGGTTCGATATACGCGTTCGCGTTTGGAATTTTACTATTTTATCAATTTATACTTCATCAAGTCTAGTCTGACGAAAACTAAAAAGCAACGCTGATAGTAATAAATCTAATCGATGCACGACTGAATCCTCGTAGAAATTGATAGAAAAAGATCTGTTAATATATTAATATAAACGAACTATATGGAAGTCTGTGAGATAACGATTTAAAAACGAGTAGTAAAAGAGGTAAAACTTGAAAATTCACTGAGAACGTCTACGTGAATTGGACGTGAAACGGGCATAAAATTTTATTCTGCAAAACCCTGTCAGAGTTAATTGTTATGGTACTACAAGAAGCAGGATACTGAGGAAGGAAAAAGGCAAGAACTCTGGAAAGAGAAAGAGATAATAAAGAAAAGAAGAGTAAGACAGGGATAGGAATAAGTTTAGTCTTAGAAGAATGAACGAAAGTGTGGGAGGTATAAATGTGGTAAGATAAAATTGTAAATCAAGTTCACTTCTTGGCAAAAAGCTGAAGTTAAATATATTATTATTATTAATTACGGTACTAATATGCACGGGGAAAACGAAAATTGAATCGTACAATAGGTAACTGTCTCAAAAATTATTAATAAAAGCATTTGCTGTAGATAAACTACATTACGTTTTCTTGAAGTTAACGGGAAAAGAAGTTAACAAACTGAAGCTTAAAAAAGAAGCGATAAGCAATAACCTGTTAGTCTGCAGAATAATCAGATAATCAAAATAAAATCAGATAAAGCAATAAGCGTTAGTCATGCACTTACTATACATGAAAAATTAGAATACGAAGTTATTACAAAAATTGCCCCTATATTGCTTATATCAGCTAATTCAGATAAAACTTAAAAAAAATCCATAATAAAAACATAAAGAAAAGAAACAACAAAGAAAATAAACTTATCAATAAAAAAAAGTAATATCAAGTAAAGACATAACTGTAATTTACGCGTCCATTACGATCGCGTGATTGTACATCGATTATATCATCAACTAGGTGACGATGCAGCGATCTCGGAAATTATTACGTGTTTACACAGCCAGATAACACGATCGGTGAACGCAGTCGTCGAGTTGTCGAATAATAATGCCAACGTGTGTGGGCGTTCACGCATCATCTCGTAATCGTCAATTGTGGATACGAGACGTCAGACGTCGTTCCGAAGAGACCCGCCGCAATAAAGAGAGGCACGGAACAAATAATTTCTCGCGCTCTCGTAACGCGTTCGTAAAAGAAAAAAGAAAATGAAGACAGGCGGAACCGACGGGTGTAACGTCGTTTGCAGCCGCTGATAAATTCTGCATTGTTAGACAAATATTGTCGTTGCTGTTCCGGCCGGTAGTTTAGTGACACGCTAAATTACATTTCGGGCCCGTCACGGCACGCGCGTGCATTGTCACTCGCATAGTCACTCCGACGAGAAACACGGGCATAATAAACGTGCCAGGTCCGGTACAAGCGCATAATAATTATCGGCACCGCGCCGCGTCGCGAACAAGCGCGGCTAGAACCT